CCTTAGACACAGCATGGAAAGAGATGAACTCCCCTAGCCACTTAATTCTGGCAAAGCTCCCACTCATTCACTCACTCTTCCCTTAGTGGTGGTGTAAGACTCACATGCTGTCAGAAGGAATCATGGTCAATCTGGCAGAAGAATAAGCCTACCTGGGCCACCTTCTTTTCTAAATTAGAGGGTCTCGAGTGGGGAGATCCTGCTGTTGTTATCCTCTTCCTGTTCTCAAGCCTCAAAACAGCTTACATTCTTAGCACATTTTAGCCTTCTTCTTTCATTTTCTCTTGTGCTATTTCTATAGTGATGCTTAGCAGAGAGGCAAGAAAAAAATGGGCTTATGCCTTGTTCAAAACAGGGTCTAAAACCAGAATTTTAGTGTAGTTTCTTCCTTCATAAAGTATTAACTCTAGGGAAAAGAAATGAAATTAAAACATAATACAGTGTGATAGTTCCTATTGATTGTGTTTGACAAGTTTTTATAAGAAAAAGATGAGCTGAGAAAAGACTTGGCTTGGCTTGAATCATGAAAAGGGAATATAAGTAAACCAGAAATCTGAGGACTTGCAGAGTTGCAAGAGGTGACTGCTTCTCAACAAAAGCAATAAAATATAAAACTGAGAAAAGGCCTTTGGCTAGAACTAAATCAGTGCATGGCTCTCAAACATAGTGTAAAAACATCTGAGTGGAGAAATGAGTCTCAGAGTCAGGGGTATCTTTTGGAGGAGGAGGGGAGTTATTTTTCACATAAATCTCTAAGAACTTCACTATCTTTTGTTACTACAGTATGATTCAGTTCATCTAGTTGGGTATGCCATTGATGGTATGATGGATGGCTGGAAAAAATATATTATGAAAATTACAACTTGAAATGTTCATCTATTTAATATTCATCATTTCACATTCCACTTTCCAAATTCAGTTTTCCCTCAGTAGCACCAAACCTACAGTCCATGGAGGAGTTGGAGAATGAATATTTTCTGGAGAGATGCAATGAATCATTTCAAAATGATATACTTCATTTTTAATCTAGAAAGTGCTTCTTTTATGTTTTATTGGTGATCTTATCTTCTATGGTATTCCATTTGATATCCTGCTATCTTTATTATTTTTCATTCATGCCCGGCATCAATATATCAGAAAACTCAGAAATAAATAGTCTATAAGATATATATTTTTTATAGACTCTATATATATATGTGTATATATATATGAGATATAGGTATATACTTCCATTTACATTGACTCCATCCTCAACGTGCTAAGTGAACCCTCCACACTATCAAATTATAATTCAAAACATTTCGGGATGGAATTCATGAGCCTTCATTATTTTTTTTGACAACCAACTTTTAAAGTCCTCCTGTCTCCCCATTCCTCTTCCATGTGTCATGCCCTTAAGACAATCAAACTTCATTATTTTTCCTAAGAAAATCTCATACTCTTTTCCCTTCACCATGTCTTTGTTTTGATTGTTCCCTTGATCTGGAATTATCTATCTTCATTCTATAGCACTGTCACCTGCTTACATCTTTAAATCTAGTTTCTTCCTCCAGGAGGATTTCCTGGTCTGCACTGCTATAACCCACACAATGCTACCATGTATGCTTCCTCGAAAGGCCACAGGCAAGTTAAGCTCTGTGTGCTTAAAATGTTTTTGTACTACTGCCTAAAATTTGTATTTCTTCAAGCAGAAATAATTCATTATTCTGCTCTCTTTTTCATGTGGTCTTACTTAAAGAATCCTAAATAAATATTTATTGAATAAATAGAATTAAATTGGATTTCTCTTCTAATTTAGTTAGGAAAAGCACCTATTCATGGTGAGTTAGTTATTCAGTAGTTGGGGCATTTCAGAGGAACACCATTTATTTCAAGTTGTTCCATAGTTTTTAAACTAGCATTTTGCTTTAAATTATTAGCAAGATTAACATTTATGCACTTGTATAACAAAAGCTATAAATATTAGCCACATGCCCTCTGACTATTTTAGTAGCAGTAAAATTTTTCTATCATGTATAAAACTGAAGAGACATAAAACATGCCAGCTGCCCACACTTCAACCTTTGAGGTTTTGAATGAGAATCTCACAAGTGAGACCAGAAAACTAAGTATTGGTTCTGCTCATAACGACAGCTTAAATTAGCAACCGAATCATATTTTTCTCTATGACAATGCCAAAAGACACCAAGGGTGTCTCGTGGGAAACCATGGCATAAGAGAAACTAAAGGCATATGAGAGGCAGTAATGTACAGAGAAAGGGTCAACAGATTTGGCAATGGACAAAACTGTGTTTAATATTCAGCTCTGTTGCTTATGAAAGGTCAATCTCCAGCAAGTAAATGAGGCCTCATATCCCTGTCTCCAAATTCTGTGTGCCCAACTGTGTGGCCCAATAGCCTTCCATCGTCACGGTGCTGTATTAGTATAGTCCAAGTACCAGTAGCAAATAAGCCCAAAATTTAAGCTGCTTAAAGAAGAAGGATTTGATTTATTTTTCATTTAATAGTCCAGGGAAGCTTCCAGTGCCTAAAAACTTATTCACAGATTGAGGTCAATAGCTGTTTTCCTACCTTCACCAAGTGGCTCCTAAGATCATCCTGTCTATCAAACCTTCAGTCAGTTGGAATTGGGATCTAATGGAGGAGTACCATGCAAGATTTTGTTTTTACTGTTTTCGTTTGTTTTGTTTTACTTTCATGGGCCATAAAATAGCACAAATGATTTCGCTTCACATTGTTGCTGGAGAGGGCTACGTTAACTACTGCAGGTAGCTACAGCTACCTGCGAACGAAGCTGGAAAATGTAAATGTAGCTGTGTATCCAAGAAAAAAACAAATAAAGGAGATTTTGGTGGGCATCTAGAGGTCTCTGCCAGAACAGACTCATATGACGTATCGAAATTACAAAAACAGTGGAAAGATGGACTCAGGCCTCCAACCCTGACAATCTAGGGAACAATTGCTTAATAAGCATTAAGTGTAATAATAAAATAATAGGTAAAATATATTTACCTATTCATTGTGTTCCTGGCATTGGACTTAGTGCTCACCCTAAACAACGTTTCTCCATTCCCCTTGCAGTTGTCTGTGGCCATGTATGAGTTCTAGTCAAAAGAATGTGAGCATAAGCACATGCCATTTTAGAGATCGTGGTTTTAAGAAGCAGGTGTAGCTTTTCCATGCATTTTCCCCCTCTGCTTACTAGACGGAGAGGATTCCAAAGCCCTAGGTAGGCAGAGTCACAGGATTCTGAGTCACCATGGAGAGAAAAGTGACCTGCTAATCAGAAAAAAAAAAAAAAAAAAAACAGCATTTTTGAGTTATTTAAAAGAGAAATAAACTTTTGTTATGTAAACCACTGGCAGTTTGTACTTTATTGGATTTAATAGTTATACTGAAACTAATGCAGTGCTAAATCAAAGTTACAATACAACAAAAATAGTAGATCAACTATTACTAATACTGTTTAGCTTATTTTATTACATTATAGCTTGCACGTCAGAGATCCCAATAAGACAATCATTTGCTTGAAACCTCACCTAGTAACTCTTCACGATAATGATCATTCTTATTCCCATCATCTCATAGTCTATGCCTCTCTAGCTCCACACTTAACTTAAAACAAGCATTTAACTGTTTGAAATCTCACTGTCCTACCCCTGCTACCTCTATCCCCTAAGAAATTTAAAGCTTTATGAAATGGTTAGTTTTTTGCCTTTAATTCATTTCATTTTTAATTCAAAAATTACTTATTTGATAACTAAGATACTTTACTAGGATACTTCACTAGGATTAGGAATGTAACTACGATCGAAGAAACAAAGCTGGTTTTTCTTCTCATAGATCTTACAGATCTTACATTTCATTGACAGAGATGGAGATTCCTAAAAATGTCATACACTCAGATACAGGAGCCAAAATAGATGCTGCTATTGTCTTACATATCTTTACCACCATCTGGTCATAAGTCACCTCTGAAATCCTGCAATTCAGCTCTTTTTCAAGGTAGTTCAAAAAATAATAAAATTATCTAGTTTAGGCATATTAAATAACACTAACTTTAGGAAAACCCATCACAGCTAATGACTTTATACAAATTAATAAGTAATAAATTAGGGTTTAGATTCCAAAATGTACTTGGCTGACATATTTTGTTAAGGGTAGCTGAAATGTCATTATTTATTTTCTTTCAAGGTTCATTATAATGGGAGTTTGTAACCATGGGATGAATCCTAAATAATAGCAGTCAGCAGCAGGGTAATTTGAATGCATCTGAGATGCTTTGTTTCTTCTTGACAATTCAGGTACTTACTGTAATAGTGTTTCTCATGGCTTGTAAGATTAGGGATAAAGCCAGGAGTATAACATGTAAAATGTATAAGGCTCCCTCTTATTTCCACCTGCTGGAATTCTATCTCATCAAAGCCCACATGTCAATTTCAAAGTTATAATGCTTCTCAGGATGCTTCTCCATTTTGGGCAATTCTTTGTTGATGCTTTAGCCTTGGAAATATTATCCATTATGTGATGATTTTTTTTTTTTTTTTTAAGTTCTAGGGTACCTGTGCACAACGTGCATGTTTGTTACATATGTATACCTGCGCCATGTTGGTGTACTGCACCCATTAACTCCTCATTTACATTAGGTATATCTCCTAATGCTATCCTTCCCCCTCCCCCAACCCCATGACAGGCCCCAGTGTGTGATGCTCCCCTTCCTATGTCCAAGTGTTCTCATTGTTCAATTCCCACCTATGAGTGAGAACATGCAATGTTTGGTTTGTTGTCCTTGCAATAGTTTGCTGAGAATGATGGTTTCCAGCTTCATCCATGTCCCTACAAAGGACATGACCTCATCCTTTTTTATGGCTGCATAGTATTCCATGGTGTATATGTGCCACGTTTTCTTAATCCAGTCTATCATTGATGGACATTTGGGTTGATTCCAAGTCTTTGCTATTGTGAATAGTGCTGCACTAAATATACGTGTGCATGTGTCTTTATAGCAGCATGACTTATAATCCTTTGGGTGATGATTCTTAATTCTATGTCTGTCCCATCATGGCTCAGAGCAACATCCCCAGTCCGGGCCCCCCACTGCTCTACATCAGTGTTCCTGCGATTCTCAGGCCAGTTTTCTTTTACTATCTCAACCTCTTACAAGTGTTGTCAGAACGTTCAGCTTCGGAGGTGTACATCTCACAGAAACTTGCATAGCCCTAAAATGCAGAAGCAGAGTACTTTCTCACAAAGAACATGAGACTAAAAAGCATGACAGGTATAGGCTTCATTTTTTTTGTTCCACTTATTTTAATCCCTTATCATCTTGCCAAGGCCTTTCAGTGCCTCCTTATGCCTAAGTGGCCCTTTTGAGAATAATTCCATCTTTTCCTAAAGTCTCAAAGTTTTTGATACGTATACCTAATTAACACAGCCTTTATTCTGCGTTTATTTATGCTTTTGCTAAGAGGAAAAAACTTGGAGTGATATAAAAATCTAAACGTGAAGATTTGCAACTTCTAAAAGCCAGAATACTTGCAAGTATTTAAATATTTTGCCAGCTCCTAAAATAAAAACTAAGTATTGTCAAAATTATTCTTGAAAGATCCTTAATCACCAGTAGAGTTTTGACTTTCAATAGGACTTATCCAAGCAGAGTTTCTGCCAGCTTTGGAACAGATGCTTTTTTGAGAACTGTACAATTATATTTTATTCAACATGTACTATATTGCAGGTCATCTTCTAAGCATGTAATATTCATTAACTCGCCTAATTTTCTATATCATCCTGTGGGAAAATAGCATTTTATTCACATTTATGGGTGAGAAAGCTGATGTAAGGAGAAATGGAAGAGCTTCTCAAGGCCACAATGTTAATTAATTAAGGACAGAATTCGAACCCTCAATTTTATTGGAGCCAAGTCCCGTCTTTTTTTCCCAGTACTTGTTCACAAAGACAGGAACAAAATAAATAATTACAATAAGAAGCCAATCATTTTCACTTTATTGCTGAAATCATAACTGTGCACGGATTCAAATATACAGAGAATTCCTGGGGATAGGCGATACTTCCTGCATAGCATACGCAACATGCTGAAACCTTTCATCTGAACGTTCCTGCAATTTTTCCCCTCTGTATTGTTCTCTCATATGGGTCCTTCCATCAGGAATTTTCACCTAAGCATCTCCAATCTTAAAACAACAACAACACAATTTATTTCAGCTTCATATTCTGCTCCAGCAAACAGACTCCTTATTTTCATCTATTCTTCAAATCACTCTACTTTGACTTCTGCTTCAGTCACTTCACCGAAATAGCTCCCAATGTGGTAAATGTTGTGTCAGTGGTTCACAGCACCAGATTCACTGAGCATACTTCAGAATTCATCTTACTTCTCAGTAGTGCCTGACATTTTTGATTACTGTTTGTCTTTTAATATGCTTTATTTCCTCAGCCCTTTTCAGACTACCAGTTTCACCCAATACCTATCTTGAAGATTCATGCATATGGTCAAATGCCCATCTGGTTTGTTGACTCTGACTGCAGCATAGTATTCCATAGTGATGTCAATGAATTTTACTTATAAGCTCCCCCAGTATTGAACAGGTGAGTTGAACAGGTAAATTGTCACGGAGTCCTTGCTATGAAAAGCAGCAGAACACTTTCCTCATAGAAGTTCTCTAATGCACCAGTGGGGATTTCTCAGAATACATTCATGCAGGAGTGAGGTATGTCATTTATGGAACACACTCGAACTGGAATTCACTAACTAGTACTTGATTGATAACCAGAAATATGTGTAATTTCTGATTTCAAAGAAGTGTCTGTCTCTCTGTATCTTCACCAACATTTGATTTTATACGACTGTCTAATTATTTGGTATTACGATGGATATAAAAAGGAATGTCATGTATGTATTAATATTTATTTTTTAAATTACAGTGGAGTTGAATGTATCATGATGTTCTTATTAGCTCTTTCATATTATCCTTTTGTAAGTGTCTGAGCTATATCCCTTGTCCATTATCCCATAAACCTTTCTTATTAATTTCTCTGTCTCTTAGACTACAACATCAACGTCAAAATTTTCAAAACCAATCCTTTTTGGAATGGTGCCCAAATTTATATTGCTACCCCAGTCAGTTTTCTTAGTTTTAGATCCAACTCCATAATTGAGTACTTCATACAGTGGTCTTAAAAGCATCACAGACTCAGCACACCCAGGGCTAACTGATGCTCCTCTGACCGTCCTCTGCTCTCATCTGGGCCTTGTCTGGTGCTTGTTGTCACTGAATATCACTCAGTCCACCTACTTTGTGACTCAAGGGCCATCTCTAACACTTTTCTATTCCTTCCTCCTCATGCTTATTCTGTTACCAAAACCTCTGCGGTATTTGCAGTCTCTCCTCAGTTCACCTAATTCTATTTCCAGATGAAGATACTTAATAACTCTACTGTGCTATTACAATTTGATATCCCTCCTCCATTTTTGTCATATAAATTTATTTTTTATTAATTTTGACAAATTATATTTGTATGTATGTATGGGATATAGTGCTATAGACTCCAATATATTTTCCACATTGAAACCATTAAAACTGTGGATCTCTCCTTTGTTGGAAACAATTCAGTGATTCCCATTGCTTTGGGGACCCAGGTTAGGTGTCTTAGTATCGTCCACAGCAGCTTCATGGTCTGGTTCCTACCAAATGCTATGGCTGAATCTTATAAAACTACTGCAACAGCCCTCACTTCTTTTACCGTTCACATAGGTTAATCCTTTTCTTCATTTAGATACCAGTTCAAAATATCGCTTACTGAGGAAAAATTTCTTGGTATCCTGAGTCAAATTTCTTTGTGATATGTTCTGAGTACTGTATATATTTTATGTAGGTCAACCATCTCTTTGTGATTGAGTATCTATTTGGTTAACTACGTAATTAATATTTGTCTTTCCCATTTCTGTTCAAGAAATCGCATACTATGAACTTTTGTGTTCCCAGGTGTACACGATGGCCACTCAATCTACATATGCTGTACAGATTAATACATTTTGGATTTGGAAACATGTGTGTGTGTTTGGGCATGTGTGTGCATGTAAATTTTAGAACAGAATATAAAAAATAATTCCTTGTAGTGATAAGTAATAAGATTATAGATTTTTTTAAATTACTGATATTTTATTTCCTAAACTTGTATAAGAAGAAAGTGGTATAAATTACTTCTAAATAACCAGCTCTCAGAATCCATTTGCTGAAGTTCTCCTTTCTGCAGCTTCATTTTCTCTAAAAATATAAAATCTTTGGTCTTCTTCTGACATTACTTCTTTATCGAAGGATGTAAATTCACATTCTAATGGCTCTCAAGGGAGCAACACTGGATAGTAAGCTAATTAACTAGTTACATGTTAGTTGCACTGACTAATTGCTTAAAATCAATTAGTCAATTGGAAAAAAAAAGCAATGTTTTTGCTAAAAGAGTCATAGTGGATAGTAGCATGCATTTTTCCTGCATAAATTACTGCTTTTTAATAGAGAGATATTTGCTTAAAAAATCAAATGATTCTGAGACAAAATGAAGAATTTAACCTTTTTTATGCAAAATAATATCAATGATATTTATATTAGCAAATTTAAGATGAATAAACTTTTACTTTCAATGTGTTTGATTCCCTTAAAAAATGTTTAAGAACAGGAAAGTAGATTTTATTTCTCAAGTTATTTGATTAGTTTAGGGCCACATGGTAAAGATTAGATAGCACTGGTATTATAACTCAGGACTTTGGATCAGAAGGTCAGGTTTTTTCCTGTATTTATTATTTTATTATCCATAGAACATCTTCTCCTGGAAGCCTGAGCTACTTGCTTCCTCTAACATACGAGGTGGAGACACAAGGCACGGAGGGATTCCTCTCCATTACAAAACTACTGGTATTGAATAAATATGTCGTAACATAAAGGATACTGTTATATATTCATACGACGATTTCCGGTAAGTGGTATTATTCATAATACACAGATGAGAAAAGTGGTTCCTAAAGGCCTTGGATATTTAACCACGTTTATGAAGACAATAAGTAAAAAAAAATCTGGATTAAATAATCATGTTCTATCCTTTCAGCAAAATCACTGAGGATAAATTAAGGACTACACCTAGCATAGAAGGATGGGACTCAAAGGTGAACATCTTGTTCACCTATGATAGGGCCAGCTACAAATGCTCCAAATTTTGATTCCTCTTTTGTCAATGACCAGCTGAATTGTTTGTTTCCATACATAGGGTTTGCATCATAATACCAAAGGACACAATCTCAAACACCATAATACCAAATGTCTAAATACTTAAAGTCTAAAATATCTAACATCTTAAATACTGAAAATTGCAATCATAGGATAGTTGCAACATGGTACGTTCAACTGTTATCTTGTTATTGTCTTCCTGCAGAAGAAAATGGATTTTAATTGAATTCCCAAGCCATAATGACAGATTTGAAGTAAACTGCAAACAAGTCTTCTAAAAGTGAATTTCAAGGTGTTACCAATAAAATTTGTTTTGTTCATTTATCTCAATGCATTTGACAAAAATTCACATGTGTGGAAGCCTATATGATATGGCAAGGATGAAAACTTAAGTTTAAAAATGTGTTATTTGTCTGTAGTGGCATTTCTTCCAGGTTATGACATTCCAGGAGTTTTCAATGAATTAAAGCCATATTTGCTTGAATATATCAGTAAAGTTACTAACTGGCCCAAAAATAATTATGTGCGTGGTAGAAAAAAAAGACAGTTGAGCAATGGTGTAGTCACTCAATTACCACTATTGTTTCTACCAAATTTGTGGTCTGTGTGTGAGTGTGTTTGGAATAGATATCCTCATATCCCCAAAAACATAGAAGCAAGGCACAGAAGATGGAAAAATTAAATAAGCAATTCTCATGTAGGTGGATGTTTAATCATTGAAGAATTTCAAATAGAGCAACAGCACTGCCTAGTAGAAAATGAATGTCCTAAAAGGAAAACAAACAAATAGCTATTCCCTGTTATTCAAGATGTCAAAATGTAGTTAATGTTCATGAAAGTTGGCCAGCTCTTATGGACTGTCTCTGTGTAATTGCCCATAATCTATTTCTGTAATATGTTTTTTCACATGTCAATTTTTGTTTTAGGTTTTTGAGTTGTTGTTTTCTTTTCTTTTGATTCTTCTTTGTTTTTGCTGATTTTTTTTTCTTTTACTATTTTACATTGTTACCACTACTGCTTTATACTTCACTATGCTGTAATACATCATCGTCTCATCATTTCCAATAATTAGGGTATAAATCGTTTTAAAACTTTTGGAGAATTCTAATTCATTGTATGTATTTTTTTCAAAAGAGACTCCATGAAAATGCATTATCACCATGTTGACTTTGTGTGTAAGCATGACATGTGAATACAGAAACACTGGCACTTGTTCAGTAGATGAAGATAAGTCCTTTTTGTGCTTTTGTATTTGTGAAAGATAAAATGTCTTGAGATCTTGGCTTTTGGGGTGACTGGTACAGTGGTGCCATGTATTAGTCCATTCTCATGCAGCTAAGAATGACATACCCAAGACTGGATAATTTATAAAGGAAAGAGGTTTAATCAACTTACAGTTCTACAGGGCTGGGTCGGCCTCAGGAAACTGACGATCATGGTGGAAGGGGAAGAAAACACCTCTCTTTTAACATGGTGGCAGCAAGGAGAAGTGCAGAGCAAACGGGGGAATAGCCTGTTATAAAACCATCAGATCTTATGAGAACTCACTCACTATCTTCAAAACAGTATGGGGAAAGCTGCCCCCATGATTCGATTAGCTCTTCCTTGTCCCTCCCACAACATGTGGATATTATGGGAACTTCAATTTAAGATGAAATTTGAGTGGGGACACAGCCAAACCATATCATTCCACTGCTGGTTCCTCCCAAATCTCATGTTCTCACAATTTAAGACACAATAATGCCCTTCCAACAGTCCCCCAAAGTCTTAACTCATTCCAGCATTAACTCAAAAGTCTAAGTCCAAAGTTTCGTTGGAGACAAGGCAAGTCTCTTCTACTTATAAGCCTATAAAATTAAAAGAAAGTGTGTTGCTTCCTAAATACACTGGGGGTACTGGGTAAATACACCCATTCCAAATGGGAGAAATTGATCAAAACAAAAGGGCTACAG